CCGGCGTCGGCTTGTGCGCGGCGGGCGCGCGGGAGCTGCGGCGCGCCGGCTGGCTGTCCGGCCTGGAGAGGCTCGACGTTTGGGAGGCGTCGCGGCAGGTGCTTTGGGTGCTGCGGGGGTCCCCCGAGTTTGAGCGCCTGGAGCGGTCGGGCCGCGCCCACTGGCGGCGCGTGGACTCGAGCGACGACGCCGCGTTTGGCGAGGTCGCGGGCGGGGTGGGGCTCCCTGAGCAGCCTGGGTACTGCTGCGAGATTTGAGGCGGGTGCTTTTTGCTCGTGTAAGTGACGTCACCTCCCAGCGCCCGAGGCTCCTTATAAAATTGAGTGCTTCACGACATGGGATTCAAAGGTTATTACACAAACACCTTGCTGGGTGCCTGTCTTTGGCCTCAGTGTGATGCTGGTGGACAGCCCTGTAGCTGGTCAGTCTGCTGACGCGCATGAGCGGGGGTGCACACAGCACTGCTCATTGTGATGCCAACGGAGGACTGCCATTCCCCTTACTACCATCTTGTGCATTCTGGCTGTGGGTTCCGTCCGAGCTCAGCCGCTGGTACCAGCTATGTCTGGTATCAGACTCATATAAGACACCACCGCGCAAGCTGCTCATGTACACTTGTGTAATTCAGTTATGCTAGCAACTCTGACGACGTGCTGCGTTCACAGGCCTGCAAGATTTGGGATACCTAAACCAATCCTGCTCATCTAGTCCTTGGCTGGCAGCTACCAAGCCCCCTGCACGTGCAGTAATGGTGCAATGTTTGCCGGCAGCTGTGGGGCTCGAGATTGACGCGCTGTCTGCAGCTGCTCTCACGCCGCGCAGCACGCCATGTGAAAGGTTCACATATTTGCAGTCCAATGCACCGCATCGACGCGCCTGGGCACCGCCAACCCAGGAGTAGGTGGGCAAGAGGAGGCTAGGCACCTTGAACTGGGATGACATGGACAGCAAGCTGCCGTGCGATTGATGAATTGCACAGGACGATTGATCGCGACTACAACATTGTATGAATTACATATCAAAAGCTATGAATGACACATATCCACTAGAACGTCGCTGTTTCGTGTGAGATATCATTGTCGCCGTGGCTTTTGGCGTGTGTAATCTGACAATCTGGGGTCTGAGCACGCCTGTACCATACCAACACAGCATTTGTCCGTGAATATATAGTAATATTACTCAAACTGGCAGCGAGCAGGTTCCGCAGGCCCTGCGTTGACCCAGCGACGCAATGGAGCCACCTGAGGGTGGTCGTTCAAGCACAACGTACACACATGATGGCCTAAAAGCAGCTACACAGGTCGGTGGAAGCCGTACGGGCCCCTGTTGTTCCGCACACTGAGCGCTGCGTCGCCGCCTCGGGCTCGGCCTGCATGCATGCCCTCTGTCCTCTTTTCGCACGTTCATCCCTCCGCCCACCATCACCTCTACAGAAATCCTCCAAAAAAACCGGCGGTGTATCCTTCAGCAATGCCGTCGAAGGTCACCTGGCTGCCCCAGCAGCCGCCGTGACGCCGGGAGCAGCCACGTCAGCATCAGGGTCAGCGTCAGTGTCGGCGTCGGGAGCCTCGGTCGGCACGCAGTCGGCCGCCGCAGCCCTGGCGCTGCTGCGCAGCGGCAACCCACACCGCGCGGCGCAGGGCGCCAATGAGCTGGCCCGGCTGGCGGCCGCCAGCAGCAGCGGCGCGCAGCAAGTCGCGAACGAGCCCGGCGCGCTCGAGGCGCTCGTCGCGGCGATGGGAGACCCTGGGACGGTGGCCGGCGCAGCCGCGGCCCTCAACGGCCTCTGCCGCAGCAGCGCGCGCCTCCAGGTCTCCAAGACCCGCGGCATCGTGCCGGCGCTCGTGTCGGCGCTCGGCGCCGGCGCGCCGGCGCACGCGGCGCAGTCGCTCGAGGCGCTGTCGAGCAAAGTAGATGGGATGCTGCTGCAGGTCGCCGACACCCCTGGCGCCCTACAGGCCCTCGTCGGCGCACTGGGCCGCGCTGACTCAGCGTACCACGCCACCTGGGTCCTCGGCAACATCGCCGCCGCCGGCGCCGACGCGCGCGCGCGCATCGCCGACGCGCCTGGCATGCTGCCCGCGCTCGTCGGGGCGCTGCGCGGCGCGCACTCGGACGACGCGGCCGAGTCGGCCGCGCGGGCGCTGCGCAAGCTCACGGCGGCACACGACGAGAAGGCAGTCATCAAAAAGGTTGCGCAGGCTGACGGCATGCTACCCGCCGTCGTCGCGGCGCTGGGCAAGCCGCGCAGCGCGGCTTCCGCCGCGGCCGTGCTGCACTCCATCTCGCTCCTCCCGGGCGCCCCGCCCTGCGCCGTCGGCGAGACGGCTGGCGCGCTGCGCGGGCTGGTGGCGGCGCTCGGCACCCCGGACGCCGCGTTCGACGCGGTCCGCGCGCTCGAGAACATCACCCGGGCCGCCCCCCGCCTCCAGCCCCAGATCGCCGCCGTGCCTGGCGTGTTGCCGGCGCTCGCCGCGCTCCTCGCCACGCCGCGGGACGGCGTCATCGCCGCCGCCATCCTCACGCGCCTGGGCGGCGGGGACGACGCCCACAAGCGCGCCATTGCGTCGGCGCACGGCCTGGTCGCGGCCGCCGTGGCCGCCATGGAAACCGACGACGCTCGAGGCCGCGGCGCGGCCATGGTGCTCAACACGATCGTGCCCGTCGCGTCGGGGCGCATCGCGGACACGCACGGCGCCCTGGCCGCGTTGGCCGCGGCGACGTGGTGGGTCGGCAAGCCCAAGAACACCTCCAACGTGGCGATGGCGATTATAGAGAAGATGGCAGCTTCCCAAGAGCCCGGGGTGGTGCACAAAATCGCAAGGGCCGAGGGGATGCTCGGAGCGCTGGTGGCGGCGCTCGGGCGGGCGCACACCGTGGCCGCGGCCGCGAGGGTGCTGGCTGTCATCGCCGACGACGCTGACATGGCGGCCGCGGCCGCGGCGGCTGTGGCGGCGGCGCTGCGGCAGGCGCCCGCGTGATGTTGGGTCGCGCGCGCGCGTGTTTGTGATTCTCGCCGGGGCGCTTCATTGGTTGCCAAGATGGGAGCATATACGCAGGGGCGGATTCCAGTGGCTAATTGAGATGCGTCCATTCCATTTCTGAGCCATGCATGGCTATGGCACTGCATGAGTCGGGTGCAGGAGTGTGAACACAGCCAAGTGCTTGTTGGGGTGATTGTTCCTGATCCAGCGGTCTGGGTTACTGTGTTTCTGCGCAGCCTGGGTTCTGTATTTTTGCGCAGCGACTCCTCTTGTGTGCGCCGCACTGACGGCGTGCAGCCTTGCACCCCCCGTCTTCCAGAGTGTGACCGCCCCTGTGCGCGTTTTCCCTGGTGCCTTTCATACAGGATGCAGATGCAATTCATTGAGCCTTTGGATGTAAGCCTGGCGATTCACTTGTTGTTTGGCATCAGCCTCATATTCAACTATGTTCTGACGCGTGCATATAGGTGGCCTCAACAGCCCTGACTGCAAGGGTTCAAGTCTCTCATATGGTCAGCCCACGGGTGAGCATACGCACAGCCAGCTCCCCCCTCCGCCCCAGATTTCTTTCAGCAAGCCACTTGGCAGTGACTCAGCCTCCCTGAGTTGCTCTGGCCTGTGCTGCCCCTGGTGTCCACCAAGACCGTGAGAGCAGGCTGGCCAGGCTTGCTCGTACTGCGGTTGCAACAGAACAATGCTGAAAAAAATTGCCGACCAAAGTGCCTTGCAGTCCGTGCCTGTTTGGGAATGGCCGCTTGCCTCACACAACTGCCGTCGCGTCTGGCACCGGTGCCCACGACAATCTGTGTCACAATGCAGTGCGCGTGGATTCCAGGCCTTGTCGTGTGCGGCGGGGTGCCCTGTTGTTGAGGCGTCAAGCATGCCTGATGTGGGCGGGATGACAGTCAACCTTGGCTTGGTGGTGGTCGCGGGTCATGCCGCCGGCTGGTCGAGATCAACGAATTTGCGATCAAGGCTTCAAGCCCAATGCACACCAGTTACTGAGGGATGGCTCTACGGTGTGCTCTGTGGCGACTGTACGGGTGATGCGGCCGCGAGTGACGCCGCTGGCGGACGTCATACGCAAAGAGTTCACGTCCTTTGCACACACTCGACCTCTTGCACGTTACATATGCACATATAAGCTCCTTGCAGTGCAGCACGCATCCTCCCTTGCTCATTGCACCAAGTCTCACTGCGGACATTGCAGCCAACCACGATGCAGAGCCTGCGGGGTAATCGGATCCTTTCTGCGGGCATAATCAATAGGCATCATGCCGGCGCGCCCTCTCGCTGTGTGGGTCCGCCTGCAAGGCAGCAGCAGCCGTCCTGGGCCAACCCCAGGCTCGCTGGCAGCCTCATCGGGCGAATGGGGGATCATATATCCTCCGTAGTGGCCACCGCGACCTCCAATGGCACCTCTGGGCAGAGCGACAGCGTGTACATCCCAGTCGACGAGCTCAGGGAGCTCGTTTCGCAGTCCCTTTCCGCTCTGGGGTACACAAATGAAGAGATTAAGACGCTACGCGAGGTATGCCAGCCAGAGCTCAGCTCTGCTGCGCCGTTGCTCCACGCCCGTCGTCCGCTGCGCGCGCCCTCGACGCACCCCTGGCGGCATCCACACCGGCCGGCGTCGCCTGCCGCAGGTGCTGCTGTATGCGCAACTGCGTGGCAACAACCAGGGCGTCATCAAGATCACGACGGGCGGCATGAACAAGTCCCCCACGGCCGGCCGCATGCAGGTCTGTCTGACAAACACGCATGCGGCCGCCCGCATGCAGCTGGCGGGTTTGAGACAGCAGCTCCCCTCACGGCTGCAGGCGCTAGCACCTGCTCGCAGCCGGCTAGCACCTGCTCGCAGCCGGCTAGCACCTGCTCGCAGCCGGCTCAAGGGAGCATCATCGGCACTGCAGCGGGGGCAGGAGCCATTGCCTAGAGCAGCCCGCCACCACCAATCGCCATCCGAGCACCCCCCCCCCCCACCCCGCCCTCCGTCCCACTCAACCCCATGGACCATCACTGCAGGTCGAGAAGGAGACGCGCCTGTCTGCGCTCATCAACGGCAACGGGGAGCAGGGCATGCTGGTCCTGTCCCGCGCGATGGACATGGCGGTGGCCAAGGCCAAGGAGCACGGCTTTGGCATCGTGGGAACCCACCACACCTCCACCAGCACGGGGGCGCTTGGATACTATGCGGAGAAGGTGCGAGC